TATATTATTGTAACATGTACCTTTTAAAATTTTTTTAGAGGAGAGGCTTTACTGCTGCTCATTTTAATTTTATATATCTAAAAAATAATCCCTTTGGGCTTACACATTTTACTTATTTGAGTTAATTAAAAATAAAATATAGTGAATGCACAGAAATTAAAAGATTTGCACATGCCGGAAATGAAAAATATGAAATATGTACGGGTATTTATGCATGTGCTTGCAAAAAGCATGTATCTGCCTTTAACAAAATACATAAATATTCATTAAATTGTTTATAAATGTATTTGAAATAAATAAATTATTCATTTATAAAAAAACTGTGAAGAAATCTAATTATTTAATGTATCTAATTTAGTATGATTATAAATGTTATCTAAATATATAACCTTAATATTGAATTGTAAACATAAATTGAAATCCTGTTGACAAATACATTATAAAACTATTTAAGCAAGAATTGTTCGTACTGGAAAGCAATCTGCTAAAGGCATCGTAAAGCAAATGCTACAAGGTGCGCACTTAAAGAAAGTAATAAAGAGTTTTGGAATATGTATTGTTGAAATTAATGGTAAAAAAAATCTGATAAGCAGAATTAAAAACATTATTCCATTATTCCCTTTATTTTTTATAACTCGGTTACAAGTTTTAAATAATACTAAAAAAAAAAAAAAAAAACTTATTTTATTCCCTTTTAGAAATGTTCAGAGAAAGTTAAGCACTATTTAAAATACTTCGCTAATTAATAATTCTCCAATTTAAAATGAACTGAATAGAGCATTAATTATAAATTGACATATTTTTCGATTTAAAAGATGCCTCACAGAAGCCAAAAAATCATGTCATATTTAAGAAAGTATTTTAGGAAGCTCTATAAATAGAAAAGAAATAATGCAAAATTTTAATATTAACAATACAATAAACTTTGATCTTAATTTTTGTACCTTAACCGAATAAAATCGAATTACCTTAAATTTTGTTCCTAATGTAATTAACAAAAACTTGTGAAAGTATTTCATTCAAATTAAACCATTCTGAGAAAACTGTTCTGCGAAAATTATAGCATTTAATTTCATTCAGAATGAAATGTTTAAAAATATGTTTTTTTCATGTACTCAGGAATTGGAAGTGTTGTAGAAAAAAAAAAAAAAAAAAAAAAAACCTTTTATATGTATATTTACGGCATAATTACAAAATATTTACATCCGATTGTGTCAAAACCCATTGAACTTAATGGTAAATGACTCAACGTTTTGGTCACTACGTAGGGATCGCCAGTGCTTCAAAGCAGGGTATGGGAGAAACCTGTTTAGGGCTACTCCATCTTACTTCCTACCTCCATGCTGTGTGTAGGAGGAGGGGGGGATATTAACAACGAAGTGTTTTATATCCTACTCAAGATTTTACACTGAAGTTACATGCAACCAAAAATGATGTTGCAATAGCTAAAACAAATAATTCTTCCCTTTATAGTACACTTAATCAAAAATATGTAATTTGTATTTTTTTTACATATGCTTTGCTTTATACTTTTCAGTTAACAGAATGTGAAGAAAATCTCTTCTAAACTTATATAAATTATTCCTTCTAATCAGTAAAACAATGAAGTATATTAGATCACCTTTCTTTTAACCCTGACAGGGGCATAGGATTTTAGCTCCGTGACGAAGAACGGTATTTAAACAGCATTTATTAATTGAGCTTGGATAATTACTTATTTCAGTCTGTATTTTCATAAACTTGCATTCATTAAGATTATATTTACATTATTAAAGAAAGTAAGAAAACAAAATATCTTAAATTATAAGCTAATATATGCCAAGTAGCAAAACTTCCGATGACCGGATAAAGCCAGTCATAACGCTCAGAGGGTTAAAGTCTTTCAATTTATCGGAGGGCTAAGATTACGTTCATTAAATTTGTTTGATTTAGAAATTCAATCTCATCACTCCATACCATGCAGATGCTAAATACGAAAAATTAATAAATTTTGATTTAAAAATTGATCATTATTAGCAACTTCATAATTGCTAAAGAAATTAATGATTTCTGAAAATGTGCCAGGACGTTTAATCATTCTTACATTCAAGATAAAATTCATTTCCAATTAAATTAAAAATCCAAAAAATAATAAAGTAATTTGGAATATACTTTATTCAACTGTGCAAAATCAAAATTCCCTACTATGTTTAGTTTAATCATTAGAAAAGGATATGACTGTATCTCAACCTCCCCAAGAGGAGTTTTATATGATGGACTGTAATTGCAAATTGGTAAAACGTGCGAAATTTCAAGATAACTGGCCCTACATAATGGTCTGAAATAACTCCAGCTCCCCCCCCAAAAAAAAGCAGCAAACCTGAAGTTAATGAACCTCTCACATACATACTTGCCAACCTACGACACTTAAAAATCAGGTGATTTTTCACAATGTTAAAAAGACTTTTTAAATGATAAAAATAGTTTTTAATAATGAATTAACTTTAAATAGTAAAAATATTTTTAATAATGAGTTTACTCGTAACCTCGTTTTTGTACTGAATTAACTTTAACTAGTAAACTATAGTTTTTCTATGATTAACTTTACCCATAGTCACTCATTCTTAAATGCGAGCAACACAAAAATACCTTATACATAAAAAAACACTTTTATTACTTGCATCTTTTAAAAAAAGGGGGGGCACTTTAATCAGTTTTCGTACAAATGTTATAAACAGTGGCAGATTTTTTGCTTTCTTTAAGAAAGAAACTTCCTAATTTTGTTCACAGCAATTGCCACGTAGGCCTGCTTTCGCTAATAAAAGTTTTTCTAATGTGTCATCACTAATATTAGACCTAAATTTAATCCTCGTTTACGCGACAACACTGAAAATCCTCTCACACTCTGCATTACTATGGGGAACTGTCAAGATGGCCAACACAATTCTAGACAGTTCACTATGTTTTAAAATTGCATCAGCACCTTTCAGTTTTCCAATTAAACTCCACTGGGTGTCATTTTTAGCAGATTTTATAACTTCATTCAAGTTTTCTAATTGTAAACTGCTGTTATGCAGCTGTTGGAACTGTTTCAATTTTTCCTTCATTTTAGAACTCCTTTCAAGATAATAATAAATATCAGCAATGTGTTCATCCACATTTATTGGTAAAGAAGCTGTCCTTTTTCAGTTGCTAAATTAGAGGTGACAGGTGCATCTTTCATAACCTGCAAATCTGAATTTTCCTTTCTTAAGATGCCTGCACCAGTCTTCAAGCCTACCAATACTGGTACATTTATCGACACCAAGTGCTAAGCAATTATCCAGATGGCCTGCATTTTCTTTTAAAGTTTAATAATTAGCTGTGGTATATTAAAGCCTGTCAAATGTCCTTCTAAATTGGGGACAGAAAGTTAACTGCACTCAATTTCTGAAGACTCTGGATTAAAAAAAACAATTGGATACAGTTTTGAATCGGTATTATTGCTTCTATCCATAGAAAGGCAGAACGGAGCTGTTTTAGTGCAATCAATAACTGAAGATTTATTTTTCAAACCCATTTCTTTAACAATTGCACCTGTTTTGGTTCTTGCACTTAGCAATTTCACTATCGGGAAACATTTTTCTAAATAAAGCTGCAGCGTGATCCGATGCATTTAGTGGCAGGTTGCGCTCCAGTAAAAAGGCAGAGAACAGACATTCTGCATTAATAACTTTTTGGTCCTTTGCTTCCGAAGAAAAGTTCAATTTTTCATTTTTTTAAAAAACAGCTCATGTTACCCTTGTGTTTGCACATGTTTGAGAACATCCGCCCTTCCACATTGCAAAATCGAAAAATCGCAACGACAGGCGGTACACATTGCAAATTTATTACATTTCCTTGAAGAAATAATGGAAGGAAAGTCAACTGTGTACGATTTTTGAAACGTACACGAGTATTTCCCCTATCTCGCAGACATAACAAAAGATGATAATTTCTAAAACTATTTCCCGAAGGCACATGCACTCGCACAACTCAGGACAAAATGAACAAAATAACTAAAGAACATCCATATAACAGCTTGACTTGTCCTCATTGGCTAATATATGCCAGCTGACACGCAGTAGAGTTCGATGCCCATTGGAGAACAACGTTTCTGGGATACGTATAATGCTCTTACTCACAAAGCAGAAGTTATCTGATTCGCAAGGTTTTGTTTTAGATATAATCTAGAAAAAATTCAATTGCTTTCAGACGTCCCAAATCACACTTTTTTTGTTCATATAACAAAGTATTAAGCCAAGTTCCATAAAAATCGTGAGAAATTTTAAGAATAAGAAAAAGTCGGAAGATATATATTGTAAATCGGGTTGGCGGGAGATCGGTCGAAAATCGGGAGTCTCCCGCCTAAATCGGAAGAGTTGGCAACTCTGCCCATATTACCATAACCAGGAGGAAAAAAAAAAAAAAAAAGACAAATATTTTAATGCTATATTCAAAACCTGGTCAATGTTTCAGTAAACAAATTCCATTTAAGTTTACTTTCATGAATAATGAAATATTATACAAAAATAATGAAGAGTAATCCAAATTTTGCAATTATAAATTTAATGCAAATTTATACTGTTTTTGTTCCTTAAGATTCTCCATCTATACTAAATCAGGAATAAAAAATAAACCACAATTAATCTTAAATACAAAAACTATACTGGAAAGTATATACATAACATTATGTGTAATTAAAACAAAAATAAAATAGTTTTAAAATGAAATGATGAGGTGAATAAAAAGAAATTAGGCCATCCATCAGTATAGCAGTTAGGGGAGCCTACTGTGGTACCAAAGAGCCCAGGTTCGAATCCCGGAGAAGGCATGGATGTTTGCAAATATATACAGTCTTTGCAGCATGGGGGCATTCTAAACGTGGCAAGCCGAAAGAGCCTTCTTGCGTGCTTGATGGCAAGGGAGATTTATGTCATTGGCTGCACTGAAAACTGATCGATGAGATTACTGAATTAAGAAATGAAAACAATACAACCTAATGAAACAGTAAACTTTATATTCACAATGACTAACACTTTGCACAAGTACACAAAAAGAAAACAAAATCTAGTTATGTACATGAAAACTCGAAATTATATAAACGAATTATTAGCCAATCAACATTGAACTTGCACTGCAAGCACCATATAGAGTTGTTGAAAATGAAAAAACTAATATTCTAGTTCAAAATGTTGAAAAATCTTAAACATTTTATGAATTCTCTTACAACTGTACTAAATGTGATAACTGTGATTCGTGAAATACGCCTCAGCATAGCTTTGATCTTAACAAGAAAATTTGGCGAGCATTTAAAAAGGACAGAAGTCTGAATTTTATTCACAATTTATACAGTTGGCATTTGGGATATAGTGAAATATTCCAGAAAACTACTAAAGATCTTAAAACTATATTTCCATTTTATACATACATATCGAGCAAATATGAAAACATGGCATTTTACAGAGGATTCTAAATAAGTACACAGTCAATTCTCTTAGATCAGTCTTGAATCAAGAGATGAAGAAGCACTGCTTTATATGAAACAAGCACATTATAAAATATGAATTTATAATAAAGAATATCATGAATTCCAATTCATAAAACATTGGCAGAAATTAATACGATCATTTATATCAAAACATACTATCCTAATTACATTACACATCAATTTGGCATCAAGCATATTGTAAAACACTACAAACAATTTCACAGAAAATAAAAACTGAAATTTTAATATCTTAGGAACAAAATTTAAGTTATATTAAATACATTAAATCAAAAACAATGTTTCAAGAAAAATTATATGAATTTAAGAATATTCAACATGTAGTTAGATCTAAGGCACATTGTGTATTGGTAAATATATTTTTTAATTAGAGAGGAAAAGGTATTTTAAGACAATTTTTAAAAATTCATTTTCATTTAGTTACAACAGTTTCAAAAACCAAAAATGTCTTTTTACAAACTGAAACATCATATAAAGCAGAAAAATATACAATTACGCACACGAAAACCGGAATGTTAAAACCTTGAAACAGTTTAAAAATTTATAAAACTAAACAAGTGAGATATCCTGAACACATTTAAACAGTTCTTTTAAATGAATTTTTTTCTAACAGTTTGTCATTTTGCGTTCAGCAAGAAGATCAGGACATTCTGCAAAATTAAAATCAGCGAATAAAGAACTTAATTTGGAACAAATAAATCGGACGAGTTTTTATTCACTGTTGTGCTCATTTTTATGTCTTCAGCATTTCTACACTCCTTCATATTCCTTTTTAATGGCAGATGCCAAGCACCATGCAAATATGACACCAATCAGCTGTAACACAAAAGATATATAAAGTTAATAATACTACAATGCTATGTCTATACTTTCAATATTATAAAGTGTTATTTTTATAGTACTTTATTTAAGAAAACACACTCTAAGACAAAAAAGTGGTGGGCAGCTCTAGATCTAATTCTACTGGGCTGATTGACGAAATTCAAGTTGCCTCCTTCATGTCTCGAAAGAGTGACTTAGGATATGTATCATTGTTCTAATATAGGTATTTTGACACGAAATCAGGCATTTCCTGAAATGACATGCCAATTTTTTTCCCATATTTTGATTCTACGACTCAAATTGTGCCAAACTGTGAAGTTTTGTAAAAAATCGCAAAAGTAGTTTATAAAAGCCCTCAAAATTGTAGCTCCTCAATATTAATTTAATTTGATATATATTTATCAATATCTCTTTTTATTAAACTTACTTGATTCCTTCTTCCAGAATTCAAAATTTAGGTTTATTCCAAATAAAATTCCCCCATTTTTATTTGTTTTAAAATTTATATTTTTAAAACTTTCATAAATTTTTTGAAGAAATTTTGAATTATAGCATATAAAATTTTTACCATCACCTTAAATTAGATGTATTTCTAAGTATATCAGCAAAAAGTTTTACAAGTTTTTTAATACAAAATTTCTTAAGATAAAAGTGAATTTACATTTTGGCATGTTTTGGAATTTGGTATATTTGTTATAAGCAATAATAATGCCAAACGTGGTTATATGCTTTGTTAAAATTATTTGAAAGTATGAACGATGACTCCCCCCTCGGACAATAAAAAAAGGAAAACAGGTTGCTATAAATTAAGAAGTTTGCCAAGTGAATTATTCTTAAAAATGCACGAAGATAAATTTTTAAATTTCTCACCAAAAATGACAAAATTTAATATCTAGACATAATTTGAGTCATAGAATTGAAATATGGAAAAAAATGGCATGTTATTTCAGAAAAAGTAAGATTTTGTATGAAAATACTTAATCTAATACATATCCCAAGTCACACTTTCGAGACATGCAAAATGCAATTTGAATTTCGTCAATCGGCCCAGAAGAACGCGAGATATAGAACTGTCCCATTTTTGAGGGTGCAATATACATACACACAAACAACAACATTAAAATCATAAATACTGGAGCTCAGGGGGTGCATCAACTGCTTGTAGAACCACAGCGAAGGCTTCCTTTAAGTGAGAGAAGTTGTCAGTAGATTCAAAAGTTAAAAAATGGTTAATTTGAGGTCCAAACAAAGAACATGGCAGAAGTATGAAAGTGTAGACGTGGAATTGGAAGCAATATTGGATGAAGATTTGGTGCCAAATGCAAGTAGGCATGAAATGTTCATCAAATAATGAATTGCTTTCAATATCACTTACATTCCATAATCCTTTCACTTACATTAGGAGTGAATCAAGCTCACTAAGCAATTTCACATCGTTTAAAACAATTGGAAGTTATTCAAAGACAAGAAAATTAGGGTTTCATATGAACTGAAGCAGCTGAGAAAGTTGAGCGCCGATTTTTTTATACGTAAAATACTGCTTGCAGGCATAAACAAAAGGGTTTTCTTGCATTATACAGTCACTGGTGATGAAAAATAGACCTACTACAACCCCAAGAAGAAGAAATTATGAAGACCAATTGGTCATACTTCAACATCAAAGCAAAGCAGAATAGTCATGGACAAAATACGGTGGGATCAACTTGGTGCCATTTAATTATGAGTTGCCCAACTGAACGAAATCATTACTGGGGCTACTACTAAATGTATCGAAAAAAAAAAATTGCACACCTTGAAAGAGAATTAGGTGGTGGTTTTGGAGTAAAACCACTGCCCATGCACAGCATGAAATCTGCAAACTTTTTGGGCATTGATTTTTACAGCAAAATAATACATATATAATTAGTTACAGGATTCTTTGTCAAATATTGATAAAAATATGATTTCTGAAAATTAACTCCATAATCAAAAATATAGTACAAATAAAACTATTTATTCTGATCTTATATATCAAGAGGAAATTTCATAGAATATTATTTTAAATGTATAAATAAATAAATGCTGAAATTCCAAATATATAAATAAGTAAAGGCTAAAAATGTAAAATTTATAACATTCAATCTTCATATTTTCATCAAAAATGGTATGTAGAAGTTATCTAAAATACATGTTATTACTCACATAATCACAAAACTTTGCCAATTATGAAACTTTTGAAAGCATGTGATGCCTTTCTGATAGTTATAAAGGGTACAAAGTAAAAAGACACAAAGAAAAAAGAGGCTTGAAAAGTTCCTGCTCAATCTTTTAATTATTTTTCTTCTCTGAAAGGAAAGGGCAGTACCTTCTTTCCCAAACTTATAACACCCCCTCTTGCCTAACAGACAGATCACATTACACCAATCAGAAAATACATAGAAATGTTTCAGCCATAAAATCACATCTCTTTAGCAAAAGAAAATACATAGGAACATCTTAGCTCTAAGAGGGTGGTGGTTTTGGTAGAAAACTACATGTTGAATTATTAAAAAATGCAAAATTACAGATTTCTCTCAATATTTGTGTTTCTTTTACAAATAAAAGTATGTAAATAAACTCATAAGTTATACTTGGGTAACTAGATGCATTTCTCATGGAGTTAGCGAGAAAAATTGAAATTTTTTGCTTGTTTGTTCAAAGTTTAAGCATGTATAAATTGATACAGAAAAAAGGTTTTGTGTTGCCATCTATTGGTTGCTGAGAAACAATTCTTAAGGAATTCTTTGAGGAAAAAATTTCTTAACATGTGGTTTCAAAGGTTGACTCTGCTCACCAGGCAAAGGTTCAGCCAAAATTCAGTTTACCCCATTCCACATTACAGAGATTTCTTTAAGGAGTATGTTCTGCAACATTATTGATTGTATTGCTCATCTCTCAGCAGACGTTTTTGTGGGGCTATGAGAATGGACTTCATGAATCCCTCCAATGTTACTGCTAGAAGCGATCAAGTCCTCCATATTTTAGTTAATCATTAAGAGCACTTTCCGTTTCCAAAAATCTTTAATGTCAATCTGTAAAAGCAAATACTAATTCAGAAGTCAAACAACAAAAATCAGCGTTATACCTACAAAATTTTCACAGGACTAGTTTTGATGGTTTTACCGAACCATCATCTTCAGCTGCAAAACCGCAAATGAACAAGATAGGAAATAATGATTAGATAAGATAAGAAAGCCTGGACAAGAATAAGCAAGTGGCGCCATCTGTTGGCGAAACCAGAACTAAAACATAATTTCTCTAAAAGCCGAAGGCAAATTTGGATTGGAATTAGGATCGTAACTAGAACAGAAAGATTTTTAAGAATGTGAAATGCCTCTAGAAAATCCAGTTCTCCAATTGAAGATGTTTTTTGAATAATTTTGGCAGCAGAAAAATTGAAAGTGTGATTTTCGGACCAACAATGTTGAGCAACAGAAGACTTCTGCGTTTCCTTTTTTCTAACATATGCCTCATGTTCTTTGACGCGAAATTTTAAGGCTCTCTTAGTTTGGCCAATGTAAATTAAACCACACTGGCATCCTATAAATACCCCAGGAATTCATATCCGGAATGGGATCCTTGAGTACAGAAGTTGGAATTTTATTGATGGGAGAATAAACAACCCGAAAGTTAAATTTCTGCAAAATATGTGCAACTTTATAGCTAATTGATGGAAAGAAGGGAATGACAACAGAATTTTTAAAATCTCCTAAAATAAGAGTGTGGCTTTTAGTGTGCTTTTAGTGTGTTAGTATTTATTCGGCGTGTTATTGTGTCTTAATTATAGAAGCCCCAAACAGGCTTACATTTTGCTTTCTTTTTTGCACGTGGTGTGGCCGCCATTTTGTGATTGTAGGAGTTTCGGTGAGTACATTTTTGCAATTTTCAAGTTATGTTTATGTTTTGTACATTTGGATATTGTGCTTTGCTTGTCTGATTTCATGCATTTTGCTTACAAACGTTTTGTTTTCTATTCATTTCAGTGAGGGATTTTCTGTGTTTGTGTGTACTTGATTATTGCTCAGTTAATTTAGTTTGATTTTTGCATTGTTTATCATGCCTTCATCCGTTAATCGTTTCACTAAATTACGCCTGAAACGGCAAAAATTCCTGAATCATCTTGACTTTTTACTTAAATGTAAATGTAAAAAATTGATCCCCAATTATATTCAAATCAAATCTAATCAAAAACCTTCGAGTCGCGTTTCAAGAATTCTGTTAAATTGCAAGCTTGCCTTACTTCGGTCCGTGATAAGGGATACACGTCAACAATTGTCCAAAATTGAACATGAACTCTATAAGCTTCATCTGGAACTCGCTAAATCATATCCAAAATTCACTGCCCTTGAACAAAAGTCTTGGTCTAGAACGGAGAATGCAGTTAACCGTCATAAAAACACCCTTGCAGTTAAATTCGAAAAACTTCTTTTACAGTCTTCCAGTTCAAGTAGTTCAAAAAAGCTTCCCATTGTAAACATCAAGCTAATAGTTAACATTTCTAATGTGAGTCTTTCAGAAGAACAAGAGAGAATTCTAAAATATAATTTTAACTTCTCACAAACCTGTAAACCCTCGATTCCAAAGATTTTGGCTCCTATCGAAAAAGCTTTCAAGTTCAGTAAAGTTTCAGATTCACAGAAAGAAATGATTAGGCATCTTATCGCTCATAATGTGAAATTCAATAATAAACCTTTGAAACCAAATCTAACTGCGAGAGAAAGAGCTACAATGCGCGAAATTCATTCTAACCCGGATATTATCATTTCAAAGGCCGACAAAGGTGGCCAGATAGTCGTCATGGATAAGAACACTTACATCGATGGTGTCACTAAACTCTTAAACGAAGGACCATATAATCCGATCCCTAAAGATCCTTCACCTTCGGACTTATCCAAAATAAAAACTGCGATCAAATCTTCGCAAATCATTTCAAGCAACTTAAAACATCTGTTGCGAATTGTGCCAGATTATATGCTCTTCCCAAAATTCATAAAAGTGGTATTCCTTTCCGCCCTATTGTATCAAATTTAGGTACTGCCTCGTATCCTTTAGCTAAATATTTAGTTTCTAGATTTTCCACTCTATTAGACAATAACATTTACACCATAAAAAATTCAATAGAGTTTGTAAAAAAGGTTAAAAACATTTCTCCCTAGTAAAGTTTACTCATGGTTTCTTTTGATGTAAAATCATTATTCACCAATGTCGCAGTGGAGGGTGCATTAAGATGTCTAGAAACCAGACTCTCCGAATTTCATTTCTCTTGCATCGAAATTGAGGAGCTAATTTCTCTCACTCAACTCTGTTTGAAACAAACACATTTTGTTTTCCAAAATAAATATTACAAACAAACTGAGGGATTAGCCATGGGAAGCCCCCTCAGTCCCATCCTGGCTGATATCTACATGCATTATTATGAATCAAAATTGTTTGAAACTTTAAACTTCCCGGCATGGTTCCGCTACGTAGACGATACTTTTACCCTGTTTGAAGGTAATAAAGATGATTTAAATAAAGTTCTTTCAACAATGAATTCTATTGATCCTGCTATTCAGTTCACTTTTGAACTTGAGACTTGCAATTCTCTTCCGTTTCTCGACATTCTGGTCACACGTAACACATCCAACTTCAGTACTACAATTTACCATAAACCTTCATCGGTTTGCCTTCCACCACACTTTAAATCATATCATCCGACTAAACAAAAGTTAGCTTCATTTTATTCCTATGTTTTCCGTGCTCTTCAAGTTTGCTCCTCCAAATTATCCCTTGATGAAGAACTAAATTATTTAAAAGCAATAGCTATTGACAGGGGCTTTTCACCCAACATTATTAATCAAGCAGTTAAAAAATTCTCATCTGAACACACTAAAAGCCACACTCTTATTTTAGGAGATTATAAAAATTCTGTTGTCATTCCTTCTTTCCATCAATTAGCTATAAAGTTGCACATATTTTTGCAGAAATTTAACTTTCGGGTTTTTTTATTCTCCCATCAATAAAATTCCAACTTCTATACTCAAGGACCCCATTCCGGATATGAATTCCTGGGGTATTTATAGGATTCCTTGCCAGCGTGGTTTAATTTACATTGGCCAAACTAAGAGAGCCTTAAAATTCCGCGTCAAGGAACATGAGGCATATGTTAGAAAAAAGGAAACACAGAAGTCTTCTGTTGCTCAACATTGTTGGTCCGAAAATCACACTTTCAATTTTTCTGCTGCCAAAATTATTCAAAAAACATCTTCAATTGGAGAACTGGATTTTCTAGAGGCATTTCACATTCTTAAAAATCTTTCTGTTCTAGTTAACGATCCTAATTCCAATCCAAATTTGCCTTCGGCTTTTAGAGAAATTATGTTTTAGTTCTGGTTTCGCCAACAGATGGCACCACTTGCTTATTCTTGTCCAGGCTTTCTTATCTTATCTAATCATTATTTCCTATCTTGTTCATTTGCGGTTTTGCAGCTGAAGATGATGGTTCGGTAAAACCATCGAAACTAGTCCTGTGAAAATTTTGTAGGTATAACGCTGATTTTTGTTGTTTGACTTCTGATTTAGTATTTATTCGGCGTGTTATTGTGTCTTAATTGTAAAAGCAAACTTTGACACTTTGATGAAATAACTGTCATTGCTATGCACAAAAGCATTAAGTCTGACCAAACCGGTTTTGGGATACATTATTCTACCAAAAGCTGAAAGGGACGAGGTGATTTTTTCTTTGGTTGATCGACTGGATATTGTGATGAGTGCGTAATGCCTAAATAATTCTTCGTACACACTAAAAATATCACTTGCGATTTGAAGAACATATAATTCATCGTGTTGCATCGCCGTATTTTGTGCTTTCTTTATTAATTAATCGAGATGTTTCAGGATATACAAATCTGCACGTGCAATCTTGAGAACTGAGGCCATGAATGAATACAAGCAAGATGTGCTTTTTTCATCCTCTTATAAATGATAATTTTGATGCAACAATAAAACTATATACAGCTTTGCGGTTCTGCAGCCGAGGATGGTGGTTCGGTAAAACCATCGAAACTAGTCCCATGAAAATTTTGTAAATAATGCTGATTTTTGTTGTTTGACTTCTGAATTAATATATACAGTCTTTTGCAAAAAAAAGGGAGAAAGCACCATGAAGGAAGTGGTTGTTTTTTTATGAAATTGAGGTCTGAAGGTTGAAAGGTCTGGTGACCTTACTGGCCAAGGAAGAGTATCCACCGCAAGGAGACAGTCCAGAGATATGCGAGCGGTATGTGGCCTGGCATTATCTTGTTGGAAAATGGCCCTAGGATGATGTGCCATTAAGAATAATGCAACAGGCTGCAGGATGGTATCAACATAATGTTGATCTGTTAAAGACATAACGGAGGAACACCAGGGGTTATGGCTGTATACCTCTGTAAAAAAGAAAAAAGGCGATTGGGAATGCTGGCTTCGTCCTCTCCAGACACAAACCTAGAGGTCATCTGCTACAAGAGTGAAGTAGATTCATCGTTGAACACTAGTCTATCTGATGATCGGCTGCAACACCACTCCAGATGACTCCGCCGATGTTGTGGGGTCAAAGGCAAACGTCTTAAAGGCCTCTGAGAGCGTAACCCCACCTCAGACAAGCGAGGTGAGATGGACAGTACCACAGGAGGTATAGATGTGGCTGTAGTGCGTTGAATAGTCAACAATGATACCGTTGGGGCGGTTCGGGCCTGACAAGCAATCATCCTATCTTGCCTCGTATTTGTGATCCTTGGCCTTCCAGAGCCTTCATTTCGTCGGCAATTTCCTTGTAGCGACCATTGCTGCCAACATCTTTGCACAGCAGCGTCTGTACGCTGCAGATGGTAGCTTATTGCTCAGTATGACCACTCAGCTTCACACAACCCTTCAATGCAACTACGTTCGAAGTTCTTTAGTTGTCTCTAAGGTCTTCGATATCGTCGTAATGGCATATTTGCTTCTTTATGGAATTACAGTGGATGCAACGAAAAAAGATAAATTTTCCGCCTCTGTTAATGGTTTTATACTATGCGAATTGCACACTAGAAATGCCCGGTATGATCGTAATTGCTTTTTCATTTACCTTGAAACTTTGCATGTTCAATCAAGATGTTGCATACCAAATTTCGTCACGATCATAAAAGTCTTTCTTGTTGCTTCCGATTTTTTGCAAAAGAGTGTATGTATATTGTTACGAAACGTACAAGCGCGGTGAGATAGCTTCCCCACAAAGCAGCTTTAGGGTTGCCATAAAATGGCAAGAGAAGGCAGGGTTGCCACATTTGACGACAAAATTGGGGATATGCCATGTGCAAATGGAGAACATTCTGGGCTAAACCAGTAAGAATTCGTTCCAGAAGGTTCTCCATCCGTCCATGGCACATCGCCGGCCAATTTTGTCGCCAAATGTGGCAACCATGAAACTGCTTTGAGGGGAAGCTATCTCACTGTGCCTGTACATTTCGTAACAATATATAGACATATTTATTGAAGAAATTAGTAAATTCAGATAGTAGCTAGTAAATAATAAAAAGTTTATTTCTTGTGTATTCTGAAGTTAAGAAATGGCACTATACTGGTAAGTAACATGTTTTATTATGATTGAATGTTAAGGTCAATAATTCTGGTATTTTAACATTTGGGTTATTGCCCTCACAATGTGTTGAGATTTATTTTCTGGTTGGAATAACTTTGCTTACTGGGCACATTTCATTATACTTTTAAATAATCATTAGTGGAGATGATTATCATGTATGTTAAACTTAACTTTTGCCATAATGTTGGGCCTTTGTCTCTACTACATAAACATGCATTTATGATTTGAAGAATTTTTTAATTTCATAATTAATAAATTAAATTTTCAATTAAAAACATTTCAACTAAATACAGTTAATGGGTATACATCACGTAAATATTATTCCGATCTATACAATACCAAGAGTGTATGTAAACAATTATAAAGTATTAAATAAAACTTACCTCTACAACAGCTATTCCAATTGCAACTCCTCCAACTTTGCCAATTATACCCTTTATGTGCTCATACATTTCTTTAAAGCAACCCTTTAAGAAAATTTATAAATTTAAAAATTTTGGTATCTGCATGAGCGTAAGTGAACATGAAATATATGAATGACAATTAAGAGACTAAATTATCTTTTCACACATGGGAGTGAAAAAAACCTAAAAAAGATATTTATAAAAACTGATATTTCATTCAAAATATAGGCTTTTTCACTTCTATTTTTAAAAGCTCATAAAAAGCTTACAACCAAACATGCAAAAATGCACATTTAAAAAATATTTTACTTTCATAGCAACAGATTGTTAAGGATCTCGAGTAAATTAAATTTTATGAAAAACCTAATTAAATTTTATGAGAAACCTATGTCTGAAACTGCAATACCAACATGAGCAAAATAGATAAATCAAATCCCTTTAGGAGAAACTCATTTCTCAGATCAAAACACAATAACTTTCATGGTTACTATCCTATATTAACATCAGAAGTAGCAATGATTAGGTATCCTTTTTCTACCAAATGAGGGGGATGTGTCAATTCTAAAAAATTAACAGCATCAAAATGTTATACTTCCCAAACACAATTTGAGAAATTAAAAGAATAGGACTGTTTATGTCATTGGAAATAATGGTAAGTAACACGAGTCAAAAGTAACCTTTGCTTATATCTCGATAAATGTCTTTACTGTCATCTCGTGAAAATATTTTTCTTTAAATATGCATAATCATATGAAAAAGATTTTTGTATCAAACAACAATCTAACTAAGGCTAGATAAATTATTTGCATCCAACTCTGGAAAAGTGATTCCTATTAAAATAATGTCAAATGCAATCAGAAAGTAAATGTTTTTTATTTGGTACTTAGCAACCAATATGCCATCACATATGCATTTAGATACAACAATACTTTGTACAGATTCCTATTAAAATAATGTCAAATGAAATCAGAAAGTAAATGTTTTTTTATTTGGTACTTAGCAACCAATATGGCATCACATATGCATTTAGATACAACAATACTTTGTACAGATTCCTATTAAAATAATGTCAAATGCAATCAGAAAGTAAATGTTTTTTTATTTGGTACTTAGCAACCAATATGCCATCACATATGCATTTAGATACAACAATACTTTTTACAGATATTACATTATATACTTTGTACAGATTTAAATACAACAATACTGAAATGCATTTAGATACAACAATACTTTTACTTTGGTACAGTTTATGTAAAAAGCCTTCTGAAAAATATTGCTAGGCATCGTTTTCCAATTAAAACTATGTTTAGGGAACCACGATAGTATTTTTCTGTTAATTATAATATGTGTTGTTTTTTCTCCTGTATTTTCTTCAACTGCAGACTTCTTCAATGGCCAAACAAGACAGCCCACAATGGGCCATTGCCTTCCTCAGAATCAAATTCCAAGCTCTTCTATCCCTGGCCATGGGCATCCAATTGGTTATTTTTAAAATTCCTAAATCTGTTTCCAGACAGTCGAGCCGCCCAAGTTTAGGTCTCCTACTTTTTTGGGTGCCAAATGGTCTGGCCAAGATCTTTTTAGTTATTCAATTTTCATCTATTATGCACAGGTGCTCTGCCCATTTAATTCTCCTAATATATTTTACTATATATATTTTTTAAAGGATTAATAGAGTTCAGAATTAGTTCTTCTCCAGATATTGTTACATTTTATGCCACCAAAATACTTCAAAATTTTTCTTTCAAAGACAGAAATGATACTTTTAGCTTTTTCTGTCATTGCCCAGGTCTCAGCACAGTGTGTAAGAATGGGTCTGATTAAGCTTTTGTAAATTAAAATCTTCGTTTTTCTGCTAGTGAAGTTAGACTTCAAGTATTTTTTCAGACCGAAAAAACATCGGTGCATCTGTAACTCTACTACGCATCTCGGGCATTAAATCGAGAGTATCAACTTCTGATCCTAAATTTTTAAATTTGCTAACAGTTTCAAATTGGTAATCCCCTAATTTCAAAATAGGGACTGCTGTTATTACCACATGGCATGTATTTAGTTTTATTTTGGTTGATTGCTAGATGCATTTTGCTGGCTGGAGCCTCTAAAGATGTAAAAGCCTCTCTAAGTGACTCGGGAGTACATGCAACTATGTCAATATTGTCAGCGAATGCAAAAAATCTGAACATATTTGTTAAAGATAGTTCCATGAGTATTAATGTTAGAGTTATTATTTTTTGGAGGGCAAGGTTAAAAAGCAAGCAGGCCAGTACAACACTCTGTCTGAGCCCATTTGAAACAATAGGCTCAGAAAAATTATTCTGGATTTTAACCCTAAATTTTGTCTCTAAGTGTAATGGTGACCAAATTTATAAGTTTTTCAGGTATTGCAAATTCTCTCATAGCTCCAATTAAATATTTTCTGTTTATTGAATTGTAGGCAGTCTGAAAATCAAAAAGGTGGTGCGTTGCAATACCATATTCATTAGTTTTTTTCCAAAATTTACCCAAGATTTGTTTTGCTGTAGATCTTCCTTTGTGGAAGGTAATCACCTACAATATTTTTTGTATAAGTTACTAATCTACTAAAAAGTATATTGGAAAATAGTTTGTAGAAAACACAAAGGAGACAGATTCCCCTGTAGTTTGTACATTACAAAATGTATCCTTTTTTATGTACAGCACAGATGATGCTCAGTTTCTAATCTTCGGGTAAAACGCCTTGGTTCTAAACTGATTTGATGAGGTGGTGCAATTCCTCAATGTTTTGACCTGCAGCACTTTTAATGAGTTTTGAAGTAATTAAGTCAGGGCCTGGGGCCTTGTTATTTTTTAGCTTTTTAATTCCTTTCTGCCATAGATGGTGACGGGATACTATTGGTGTTTACAAAGGTAGTTGGGTAGGTTGAAGACCCATCTCATGTATGGTCATTCAAAAAATTATTAAAGCGCTCATTCCACCTGTGGAGTAAATCTTTTCTATCATTTAAGATGATGTTTTTGTCTCTACAGGCAGCAGTTCTATGCTTAATATCTTTGTGGCCAAGATTAATTTCACAAAAGAAAGCACTGCTTTCACTGGACCCCCTCAGATGTTCAATATCCTTAAATAGGTTGGCGTGAGAAAGTCTTTTCTTAAGCCGGTGGATGATCTATTTTCTAGAGCTCTCATATTCATTCCTCAACAGAGAGCCTTGAATGTTGCTTTTGGACCATATTTTTATAAGCAGCTCTTTTTGCCTGTGTTACAAGGAAGCATTCATTATCAAACCAATTTCTTGGTTTGGGTTTTTCCATATATCCTAGTGTGTTGTCAGCTGAGCGTATGATCGAGTCTTTGAGCAAGCTCCACTTATTTTCCACGGTTTCCAGTTCTGCCATGTTTTTAGATCTTAGTTCTCCCGAGTGAAAACTGGAAATTTTGTTCAATTGCCTCAATTTTCATCTTTTCACAATCAAAGTTTTTTTGCCTTTCTCCCTGTATCTCTCGAGCATTTGAAATTTTAGCAATTAGTTTAGCAATAACCAAAAAGTGGTCAGAATCACAGGTGACGCCTCGATAAGTTCTAACATCCTGGAAGTCCGAAAAATGTCTAGAATCGATGATCAACTGCAGTCAGCATTACCATAATTTTGAATTAATTCTGTTCTCTTGTTTTGGCCTGGTTAATTAGTGATCTACTGTATTTGATATATACCATTTCTAAAAATTAAGGGAAAATCGCAGGTAACGATAATTCGTTCAAAAATAAACCAATCGTATAAAATTTGAATATGTAGTCAAATGAGAGTTGCCGAGTAAAACTGCAGTTTGCAAATTAATGGCAATGCAATTGGCATACATCATCTGCGAGAATCATAAAATTGCATGCTTGAGAGCAGACCTGCAAATTTACCGAGATAAATCCAAGACAGCCAATTCGTAGCAATCGCCTCCAGGCATCATTTGCCCAGAGAACTGCAATGGAAAGACTAGAGGCAGGGCAAAATCAGACAGAAAAGGCCAGATGGCTAAAAGAGTTCTTCGTGGTTCAAGCAACAATTAATAACCACAGATTCGACATTCAAGATCTTCCGTCAAGGATGGCCAACTGCTACAATGAGCACTGATGACATATTTGTTATGTATATGAAGGAATCAAACCACAATTCTGACTCAGCTCAGATCCTCCTTTACTGCAGCCACCAGAAGGTTGGTGTCAACCTTGATCGAGTGTAGAAGAATTAAGGAAGAGGTCTATATATGCGAGATGACCAGGCCATTTGCATACCACTGGACGACTGATCAATGGAGAGTTATCTTTATGGATGTGTCCAAGTTTAGCCTCCAAAGCGATAGCAGGCGTAATTTGATTTGGAGAGAACCTGGAACCCATCCATTATCATCCATCAAACATCCGTGAAAGACATGCATACATAGGAGGAAATTTGTGGTGATATCTCTTCGAGTAGATGCACAGACCTCCATGTCTTTATATACCGAATTGTGAATGCTTAAGCCTACAGAGATAACATCTTCGAATTCTTACATGTGTCCCTTATGCTGGGGCAACAAGTGATAATTTCCTACTACAGGACAATAACACTGATCACACCAAGCTTGCACAAAAGACTTATCTTCAGCAGCAAACAACTTAACACATGGAGTCGCCAGATTTGATCCCCAAACATCAAGTATGGGATGCTTTAGGAAGACTTCTAGCTGCTCTCAATATTCCTCTTCAAACCTCCATCACACTTGCAACTGTTTTGCAAGAGCAATATTTCTTACGGAACTTTGTTAATTTTACATATATGCTAATTTCTATAATACCATAATTGCTTGGTAATTTCTTTTTGTGTTATTTTATACCTTACTATGTGTTGTATATTGTAGGTAAGTTTAATAAATTTCTATATAACTTTTTGAGTAATCGTCATTTTTTGAATTTTTCTTAATGATAATCAGCATATAAATTATACATGCAAGAAAATATAACTATTAAAACAAGTTCATACTTTATTATAAATGATAACACGATAAGTTATCTCCCAAATGCTATAACTTATACCTAACTTATAAGTACTGTAACTACAGAACTGCAAGATGAATTTTAATAAGCATTTCATTAAAAATGAGATTCAGCTTGGATTTTATGACTAAATATTTCAAATTTAAAAACATTAAATTTCAAATTAAAAAAATCAAATCTAAATAGATTAAAGAAGCATTTTTAGCACTTACTTTTTTATACGCCAGGTCTTCAGTGCACGTCAGCATAATTTCTGGTTTACAACAGCTTTGTGAAATATTTACATCATTTTTTATATAATCAGAAGCATCATCAACACCACAACAATGCCACTAAAATAAAGAAAATCCAATGTTAGTTTTACATTCAACTGATAAATAAACATGATGCATTTTAAAAATTTAAAAACAGACAACTGATAAACATGAACCTTAACTTGTCCCTTGAAATGCAATCACCTTTTCATGTCTAACTATAGATGAATTTTGCTTTTAAGTTAAAAACTCTGGCTGTTTCTCTTACTTCTTGTAAGACTTTTGCATGTTTACCAAAATTATAAACTGACTTGCAAAGTATTAAATATTTTATATTGCTTTTTCACCTGAACTAACTGTTATATGTAGGACTTGGCATAATTTTACTCTTTCAAGAAAGGTTCACATATAGTACTTTATACCTGAAAGTTATTTCACAGCACATGTGAATTTTCCTCTTTTGATGGGAGAGTTAACAAGTTTGAAGGAAAAATTGACTTATACCATGTTTTTACAAAATCGATCTTTGCTTATGTTTTGAAGTAAAAAAAAATAAAGAAGGTCACTCTTTTTCCTAATTTCTTTACATGTCATTATTTTTTTCTTTACTTCCAGTCTAAGATAATGCACATTGTACACATTTATTCATCTACATCTTTATTTCTTTTTATAGTGTTTTAGCATTTCTGCAGTGTTTAATGTTGTTTTTAATATTAATGGCTACAGTATTTGTATTTTTATACACAATTTAAAACATAAGTATAGATTCCTTTCTGTTAAATTTTAAGATTCTATAAAAATATTAAAATGTTAGCAATAGCAATAAAATAATCATGGCCATTTCTGTTTCAAATGCAATGATGTCTTCCAGACTGAAGTATTTTATTTAAACTTTTGAATGCATGCAACAATATGTCACAATAACAGAATTAGTATAAATTTCTATATAATACAACTATCCTGATGATTCAACATTTCAATTCGAAGCTTCAAGTTTCAATATTTCCAAGCAACTGTATTTCATCAAATGGCAAAATATTTGATGATGATCTGCCCATAGTAAAGATATTTTCATAAAAGACTTTCTCAGAGAAACTTGTTTTTACTCACATAAGGGAGAAAAGCCATTAGCCAGCTCACCTCAAAATAAAAAAACAGGTCAAACTACCACTGTGTACCACTTTTACACATTTGATCAGTCACCAGGATAAATGGAATTATTTAAAACGGGAAACTGTTTTTAAATACATGTTCTGTATTAAGTTGCATAATTTTAATATCTTTCACAGAAGACCGATATTTATGTATTGTACAGATATGTAGAAATTTAAAAATTCATTTTATGAAAATTCAGCTCAAATGTAATTTAGAAGTGATCTCTGATCCATCCATTTAATATACTTGTTTATGACTGATCAATTATGTACCTTCAAAGTTCCGGTAGTAGGATAAATAAGAATAGCCAAATAGAACTTATTTCATCCATGTTTAAAAGCAGAACATTAATTTCAGCATTTATTAACTTAGATTTTGTTATAAGCAGTGTTTCATTCACACTTATTCAACACAACTTATTTTAAGATAAATGATATTCTGCTAATATACCATATTGTGTGAGTAACTCAAAGATAAAAACTAGCACCACAGCAATAAAACAAACTATGGTATTTTCCGCACCACCCACCGAATTGTTGCAAAGTTCATGTGGAATTTGAACAGCATTTACGAACCCACTGTGATTCTGGAGGGAAATGCTTGTTTGGATATTTTAACATCTATTTCAATGATGTAGCCAAAGGTGCCCATTTTATTACACTGTACTTTTCCCACACAACACACATATAATTTGCTTGGTTTAGAGAAAATAGATTGCAGCAAGGAGAAAAACAGCATAAAAAAAACTAAGACTAACTACCTAACACTGAGGCAAAGACCTGGGATCTCGAAAGAGGAGGAAAAAATATATAATTATTTTAAATTATTGACTTCCTTGTATGCAATATTAAACTATATGCATTTTTTCAAGCTTTTCATTCAAATTTATTTCCTTGAATTACACTAGATATATTTCTCATTCAATTTTATTATTCAATTAATTCAGTCCTCACTTTGCGATACGGCAAAAATAAATTAAAATCTCAAAACAGCTATATTAAAAATTGAAAGATATAGAAATACACAACACATTAACGGTTCTTGTTCTTTATTTTAGCCATGCTTAACTCTTAAGTATTCATTATTTCTTAACAAAGTTGTGGAGGTTATTGCTGTTTTCAGCAAAGGTACTCCAGAATCCATAGCCTTGGTCCACATACAGCTAACACAATTAGAAAAAATTTTTTGTACAATTAAAATTACAGTTTTTATGCAAAAACAAGCAATTTGGTCAGCGAGCAAGAAGGCAGATATTTTGGTGCACAAAACTAAAAGTTTACTTTTGGTCTCGCTTGGCAAAAAAGCACTGAAGGCACAGAAACTGGCTTAATTTGTTGTGGACGTTATGCTGAGCCAATATATGGGATAATTTAATAACTTGAATGATAACTGGAAAATGGATTAAGCACAATTTAATTCACAATAATAAAAGAGGACGTTACTTTGTTGTTATGAAACTTAGTTTCCCTAGATTGGCAACAAATCCACAATTCTGCCAAGTTTCAAATGTAAACAAATATGTCTGCTATGGTAAAAAAATTAGGCTTAGCCACACTTAAACAACTTAAATTGTTGACAATTCAACTATAATATGCAAGTTAACTAAAGGCATAAAAACCTTAACCGGAAGATAAGAGTAACATAATTCAATCATTTTTAAAGCAAAAATGTGCACAATTTACAAACATACAACAATAAAGTAACTGAGCTCACTGAGCGGAGTAACAAAAGTGGATATATATATACCTTTGGTGCATCCGACTGCAACCTAAATAGGAAGGAGGTACACATTTAAATGTTATAAAGCTCCTATATATACAGAATTTCAAAGTTTTCGATTTAAGCGAGATAAACATACGAAGCTACAGATGCAACGAAAAAAACCTCTTCTGACTTCATTTTAAATCAGTTTGGGAGAGGGAAGAAAAAATGTCCTTTATTCTGTCCTTATGTACAGTCACGTAAAAATATTGTTAAACTGGATTTGATAACTGCCAAAATGGATATTTTCGTTAAAATACAATACCTGAAAAGTTTCGGGATTACAATACTTCCTTTTTACTTCGTAAAATGAAGTAAAAAATTGAAACATTAAACTTCATTAACAATATTTATATTTCCAATTTCAAGTAAAGAAATTATTTACTTAATTAGAAATCACATTTATATCTACTTCTAAAGAATGATACTTGTGAATGCATTGATGACTAATCAGATTATACGACCACATAGCTGTAAAACATGCAAGTCCAATAGTTCAAGAAAGAGCTTTTCACTTGTTAGCATCTCATTAAAAATAACATCACTCGGGATCACTAATTAAGACAACATCACTTTGGAATACCCTCCTTTTCTTCACCTATTCTGGATACAGCCAAAGATGCTCTTAAAGTTGACTAATTGAATAGAGTTTCTATAGATATGCAAAAATAGTGAATGATGAAATGGAAAACCTGGTGTATTAAATATTTGTTTTCATTTGTTGAGGTTCTAATTCGTTGAGGTTTTTATTTCTTTTAGGGAAATAGAAAGGTCAATCATCAAAGGGGCTTAGGAAAAAAAAAGCTCTTGAAATTGTTGAATAAAAAATGTTTGGATTTAACAAAATATTTAGACTACTTTGTAGCAGAAATAAGTGAGGCATAAAAATAATATGCAACATATAACAAAAAATTTTGCCATTTTTTTTAACATTGTATGGAACATAATTTTAGTTTTAAAAGATATTATGGAAGGAAAAAGAACTTTGCCAATTTTTTGAAACAGTCCAAAATGTATATTTCGGTTTTAGTCACAAAATTGTAGAGAACTGAAAACAATATATCGGATTGAATTTGCTAGGATGATAGATAACAGAATACGCTTTAATAGAGATCTGATGAAATATCAAACATTTAATTCTGACTAGGCAAAAAGCAATGAAAGGAATGATGTGAAACTAATGGAGATAGCTAAAGAAAAAACGGGAAAACGTTGTCTTCTTCCTGTATTTGGTTTTACAGGGTGAAGTTTTGAAATTTCTAAACACTGTTTCAAAATCTTTAAAATCTGAAATTATAGATCTATTATCAGACTATGGATTACTGAAGAATATCATATTTAAAATCATTAAAATATGAAGAAAGTTTGGAGATTGTCTTTCGCTTCAGAGACTTTTTGAGCCTTACAAAATAGTGGAAGAGTTCTGCTGAAGAAGTATTATTAAAGTGAAAAAAATAAGATGAATTACGCAAATATGGACAATTAAAAATATCCAGAATTTTATTTTAAGATAACCATTTTACCCAAAAAACAGATACTTTAAGTACTCAGCTTGGCCATTTCCAATGTATGAAGAACGTTTTGATACTTACCAAGTGATTCAAATCGAATTTGTTGTGAAAGCAAAAAAGAAATCCATTGAAAAGCATTTGATTTGCTGCAACACATACAATTATTTTTAAGTAAATATTTAAAAAGTAGCTTGAAAAACTTTCTAGCATTTCAAACAGATTAGTAGAACTGTTCATAATAAATTCTCTTTCATCACGTTTGATGATGCTGTGTGTAAACCATTATGGACACTACGTCTGAAAAGCACCGTAACTATAGCATTGCTTGTCATTCTCAAAAGTGAAAATAACAAAAACTGTTTCTGAAGCAGGATAATGCTTAAACGTTTAGCTTTATTGTCAACTGAGAATGATCAAGCCCAAAAAATTAACCTTAATCAAATAATGAATTTACTTCTTTAAGAGTTAGAGAGTTTTATAGCTGAAGTGTAAACAAAGAAATTTTGCTAGTAGACACTTTACCTTAATTAAATTACACATGTTTCACACTGCACTCTGTATGATGTTCAATAGCTTTGGATGTCATATTCTTTCTAATCTAACGAGATTTAACAGCCATAAAAAATACCATATGCACATCACGTAAATCAAATTTATCGAAATTTTTTTTATTCAATTAAAGTATATAAAACTATTTTAATTATCACAAAAATATCAATCTCAGAAAAAAAAAAAAAAACAAGTATGGCAGAAACAATAAAGATGGGGAGCCGTAAGTATTTAGTTACAGCCTCAACCAAACTCCTATATATATATATATATATAAAATGAGAAGGAAAAGTGGAGATGCATTATGTTCTTAAGCGAGCCATATTGCATACACAAAGCTAATTACTAGATTTTGCCAAAGACATCAAAACTGCAGTATATAGACATGCATTATGTTCTTAAGCGAGCCATATTGCATACACAAAGCTAATTACTAGATTTTGCCAAAGACATCAAAACTGCAGTATATAGACAACTGCTATGCTGAAACACTAATCAGCAATAATAGCCAAAGTGGAAAGTATCTGGTGAGATACGAGAACATCTGGTTTACAGAATATATTGTTTAGCAATGTGGTGCTTTGTCTCATCGATAATTTTCCAGAAAATCAGAAATTAACTATTTGTTTTCAGTTTGTAAAAATTAAGAACTTAAACAACTCTTTACATTATACAGCTTTAAGGCATCAATATACAATATATATATAATGTATAAGATTAATTATAAAATTCAGTAACATACTTTTGTTTGAATTTCATCCCAAATTTTAATAGCATCTTTCTTCTGTTGTTCAATAGAACTGTTCATATTCGCTTTCAGAAAATCTTCAAACTATAAATAAAATGAAGAAACTATATAAAAATTTCTCTACTAGACATTTATATCGTCAGAATATTCAAAGAAATCAAAATTATTTACATATGCAATAATTCAATATAAGTATCATAATAAGTAAAAATATTGCCTATATGACTATATTAAATATACTTACGCCACTACGGTTCACATAAGCAGCAATACCACCAGCGATTTCAATTACAAAGATGATGAAAAGCAGAATTCCAAACTGCAAAACAAATTTAATTTTATTTAACGTTAAATTATACCAGAAACTATTACATTCATAATTTTGAACACAAACCTTGCAATTAATGTTCAACTATTCTGTAAAGTTAAGGATTCACTTTTAAGTTACCTCATATTAAAATTTCAGCCAAGTTCCTGAAGTTTTTCAAATATTATGCAGAACTGAAATAAACCATTTTTAGAGTTTTTCTTAAAAAAATAATCTAATACACATTAATAGGACTAAATTAACTAATAATTACATCAATGTATGGTACTCAGTTTGTGAGTTATATGTTAGTATTACTTCAATGCTTAATATGTATGTAAACATGGAAGTTACAATCAAACTGTTTTTATACTTTTATGCTGTTACAAAATAATATTTTTATATTACTTCACTTGGCTTTATTTACTAACATATATTATTCCAAAACTATTCCAACCTCAGGGACAAGCCCCCTTTGGACTAAAGATTTACGAAACTAATAAAATGCACATTTTTTATTAGATATCAAGAATGAAATTATTAGTTCAGAACAGAAGTAAAAAAATGGTACTTAAAAAGAAACTTACAAAATTAAAAGCTTCACACTGCTTAATCTTTCTTCAAAACTTGCAAGAGCTTTGATTACTCAAAACTGAAACAATGTTTTCTCAATGGCTAAATTTTTGATTAATTACTTTTTTTTTAAATCCTAGTTTCAGCTGAATAAAGTTATATGGGAGTAAGTATTTTAATTTCCACTAACAGATGTATATAGTTAGTCAACTGTATACTTCTGTCTGTGGAACTGCTGCTAAAGTACTTATGCTTGACTGCCCTTGACATTGATTGCTTATTCAAAATTTCTGCTAATTTAAGACATTTAAATTTTACTTTGGCATGCTTCTCTTCCCATTCAATACAATAACAGATATTTCTTAAATAAATTATTAATTTTCGAACTGAATCATCTATATTACATGGATTACATTTAAAAGCTTTTAGATAACAATCCAAAAATCCTAATGACAGAGCTCTTATGACAATGGAACGTGAAATATCTTAACTAGTACAACCTGATTTTCTTTTTCGTAATGCATTTTTCTGCATCTTTGTAAAACTATGCTTCATATGTTTTTCGAAATTTCACTATTTGAGATTTTAATTTCATATACAGATTTCTCTCTAGATGTCGTCCACCTTCTTTGTCGCTAAGCAAACATTTAAAAAATTTCTTTTTCAGTTTTTCAATACTTCAATGTAATTTTCTAAGAATATTATTTTGACCTTCATATTATCAATACATTCTTGTTTCTCTTTACACTTAGGACATTCAGGGATATTTACATTACCAACTGAGTTTTATTTCAAAATCATTCACATTTGAATTATTTTTATCATCAGTTTCAATTTGGATTCAAAATGAATTTTCTTTGGACTTAATTTGTGTAGTCTTTCAAAAGCATTCTGTATTAGTTTTTTTTTTTTTTTTCCCCCTCTCATCTCTGATCCCTTGGTGTTATTTCTTTTACTGCACATGGTAAATTTAGTTTCAGCACAATTTCTTTTGCATCAACCCAAGCATTAAATGTTTCATGTCATCTTCATAATCACTGCATAGAAAATATTCGCTGCAAATTCTTGCACTCTTCACATTATTAAAATCCTGTCTTCGACATTGATGTATCCAGTCTTCGTTAAAAGCAAATTATCCTTTGGGAAAGTGCGAATTTAAAATATTTATATAACTACAAAACAAATATATATGGTTAAAACTAATTTGGGATATCCACAACTCTAAAATATCGCTTCACAGCAGAATAGAACGACAGTCTTGAACAACCAAAATCAGGGCTCATGCTACACAGTGACATCAGATTACTTCCAGTTAGCTTCCCCCCATGAGGATTGCATCTGCGAAAGGTCCTCAAAGGAACAAATTAGCCCTTCTATTTAACTTGCATAGCATTTAAGCCAATATTAAAATTTGCCAACTGAAATCTAAATTAATCAGTAGGAATATAAATTCAAACCAAAACTACCGTTCTTATTAAACGTCCATACTAGAATCTACATTCTTCTCTTATTTACTATTCTGCAAACACATTCCTACTTATCTTTCAAATTTATTATTATAAAATTTTAAAAATAAAAACACAAACGTAACTGATAAAACCTATTCCTATTCGCATCACAAATGTTGTGCCAATAAAAGTGCTCAACTAGCTACGCGGCCTACTACTATCTTTATGCACCAAGCTCCATAATCATGTAATCTACCTTTCAAGTTCCTAAAAAACTGCTTGTTTTTCAAAAGTTGGAAAAATCACATGACTGCAACACTGATATACTGATAAATGGTTAGGCTCAAAATAATGCATTAAATACTTTCATTTTGTTTATTAAATATTTACACATTATTTATGCTACAATATACAAAAATATAAAACAATTACTTACTGTCATAACCATACAATGATTTTCCTTTACAGCACCACAGCATCCCAAGAAAGCAACCACAAATATGATGCATCCTACTATGATAAGAATTGTTGGAGCAGTTACATATTTGGAATCCAAGAACACAGTAAAATCTTTAGTGTTAATAACAACAGCACCAATAGCGATCAATGCTATGCCACAAACCTAAATAAAAAAAATTAAGTTAATACATACATATTTCAAGTCAATCATATACAAATGTAATATTTTTGTTTATTTGTTCATATATCAATATATGAACAAATAAACAAAAAATTTCACAATAAAATTCAAAACAAAGATAAATTTATATATATAAAAACTGCTAAACTTCAGTTTGAATATCCTACATATACCTAGCATAGGCATAACAGAAAAGTTCCTACTCGACGAGACTGCTTATTTTAATTAAAAATCGATTCTTGAAAAATTAACGTTCCTTTACACTTGGTCTTACAAATACCTTAGCATTTTTTGTATTATTTCCTACCATTACTCTTACATAAAATGCTGTCTATTTCCACTTTATTTCTTTCCTGCATTTTCCCATTACCTCGACATCACAAATAAGTATTTGTATCAGAAATTATAAGACAAACTAAACCATTAATTTAAAATAATTTGCATTTACCACTGAAGTACAGAAAACGTTTAATGTTTTTAAAAACTTTTTCGTTAAAGAAGGCAGAATTATATACAATCTGGACTTCATTCATTTTACAACTGGTTGACACTATGTATGCAGTTTGAACTGAAAGGTGAAGATAAGGAAGGACATTTTTATTGCAAAGCAAAACCAGATTTACCCAAATAGAAGAAAAACATCAGCCAATCTGATAAAAGTATTATCCCTCCCACTTTTGAATTGTGAATCAAGAACAAGATTTTGCAAGCATCAAGAGTTGATGCCAAATAAATGAATTAATTTTTATACAAAAACAAAAAGTTACTTACCAGGTGCAAGTAGACTTTTTTAAATAGTTTAAAAATGCCGAAAGAAACTTGTTACAGTAAGGAGACCAGAATTTAACACTGGTAAAGCGGGACATTCTTGATTAAAGATTTGGTCTATATGGAGCAACACAAATTTTCATAGAAAGCAAAAATATTATTGTAATATATTTTTAAAATTTCAACAGAAGTACAATTTACAAATATTAATACATTAAACAATTACGTATAGTATTATTTTATTCTTTGGCATATTTCTCATTTGAGTGAATTCTTTTAGTAGATTTCTGTCGTTTTTTGGTGAATAACCTTTGGACAGCTTTTGATGTGCAAGATCTGAAGAAATGATTGTGATTATTAGCATAAAAAGACATAAGTCCTTCTACTAACGCCAATTTCTTTTCTTCATCTCCATAAATTGTTTTCTGAAAGAATTCCTGCATTTTTGAAAAATGATTTTTGAAAATGATTTGCATTTTTGAAAAATGAGTAGTATTTAAATATCTTTTATGTTTGTGTCCCCGAGTGCTTTGAAATATTCTTCCAGCCGGGCGAAATAGAAAATCCACCATTACATTTCTCACATTTTACTATGTAACGACTTTTTTTTTAACAAAAGAAAATTCACTTCTTAGATCACCTTTGAATTTGCATCTTCTGTTCTTACTCATTATGTTAAAAATCTAAAGAAGTAATTTATTATAAATTCATAAATTATAAATTGTTATCTATATATATTGCTTAAAAATACAGTAAGTAGGTACATATTTACATCAACATATTTTATTGTTAGTTTAAAAATTAATTTTTTCGTTATAAAGTAACTATATTTTAAAAATTATTTAAATTTTAATATTTCTTCCTATATAATAAAAATACTAACTTGTATTATTTATCCTCTAAATTTACCATAACATAATAAGTCATGTCATTTTCAAGGCCAGTGCTAGAGTTTGAAAGACAGTTACAAAATGTTTTCGTTATTGCCAATGCCAAAAAAATGCAATTATGTCCAAACAATGATGGTCGGATTCTAAAAACTGATCAACAATGTGAACTTTGATAAGCAATTCTCGATAATCAGTTGTCAACAATTATTTGTTATTATCAAAATTTAACACAAAATTAACAAAATAATATAAGACTCATATTCTAGCGAAGTAGCCACATGGCCGCTGAAAACTGTATTCTCCCGCCGTTCCCTAGCTTGTCCTGCATTCTTTACAAAAATCGGGACTCCTTTAAAACGGTGCGGGACAAACTTAAAAATCGGGACTGTCCCGCCAAAAGCAGGACGTCTGGTCAACTTGTGTAAAAGCCTTTCTTTTAAAGGTTAAAGAAGCTAAGGGATATTTATAATCAACAGAATTCTAATTACAAAGTCGATTAAATTCTAAAAAGTATATATTAACTACTGAAAGAAATTTGCCTCTAAGATCTGTAGATAATTTTTTCTCAAGGAAAAGTAAAAAGGTTGGGTAAATAATTTACATATCCCTCCACTCTATGCAGAAGCCGTTTCATATTATGCAGTTTATTTTATTGCATGTATATAATCAATGTTTAACAAAATAAGCCTCCAGAGACTTTGTCAAACTTCTCTGCTATACAGTTAAAATTTTTCGTTTTTCTAAATTTTGTGAGAAAACTCTGAAGTGAATTCGAAATAGATATTCAGTCTGCTTTATGTGCTAATAATTTTTACAAGAGAAATTGGAAAAACTTTTTAAACAATTGGCTTTATTTAGGTTGCATATGATGTGAAATAAATATTCACTCCAGAATCAAACTCAAGATATTACTAAGAATTTTCAGCAACCCTATTTTCTCAGCAATTAGTATGCTTTTAGGGATATAAGTATATATAAAGTAGTGTTTGAGCAAGAGATGCATAAAACATCTAAAATCTGCAGCAAAAAGTTTTCAATACACATTAAATTATTCATAAACCTGTACGACTTTTAATCCAATAAAAACCACTACAAGAAACTGATATTATTAATGGTAGATTTTATTTAAAAAATTACATTGATTTGTTTTGCTGAAAGGAAGACTAATCAAACTACATTTAGACTAGTTACACAGTAATTAAATTCTTCCCCCCCCCAAGATGTCCGAAAGTATTTTTAAGAAACTTTTTTGTACACTTTGTTGTGGATTGGATTGGATTATTGTAATTTGGCACAAAACCTGTCAAGGTTACCTGTGCCAGACAAATATACTTTGTTGTGATCGAATAAGCAACAGACATATTTTTAAGTATAAATCAAAGTAGTAACTAGGTATGATTCTGGTACTTAATTTGGAATTACCTTTACAAATTAAAAGAGAAATTGTGATATGTTATGTGCAGTTCTCAATTTTCGAAAATGTCAGTTTCAGTGTTTAACTTTTTAAATATATATAATCAGTTGCTACCATTTCTTAAAATCAAATTAAAAAATCAGTCCTAATATTAAATTTACCAATACGAGTGATTCTTACAATTTGATATAATACATATTTACATTAATTCATTATAATCAGCATATCCCTTTTCAAACTGTTGCCATAAATATTGCCTTGTATTATTTTTAAAGGAATCAAATAATGACGATTCTGCATGTATACATAAATTCTGTATATTTCTCACATTCTGAAAAAACAACACTACCTAGAGCCGCTAAATTCTGAATAACATAGTCCTCCATCCAAACATATTAACCTGAAAAACTTGAATTTTGAATTTCTAATTTTATATTTCATATTCCATAAAACTTTAATGAGTTTTTGATTAACAAACTTAACAAAATGAAAGCAAGCGGTGGCAATACTGTCAGAAACAAAATATTATCCGAGCAGATGAGACTAACTAATCGAAAAAATGGTCTTTAAAGGTAAATAAATTTTAATTAATAAACATGACCCTATAAAAGCAATGCGTTGCCACTGTCAGAAATAAAATTATCTTTTGCAGGCCAGCGTGCTGGTATTCAGTAAAGTCTAAGACTCAAGTTTAATCTGAAGGTTAATGAATAATAAATTGAGCATTTTAAAAGCAAGGACAGTTCTCAAGAATTATTTTCTACTTATATATAAATAGTTGAAGGTATTATTAAGGATATTAATACTGAAACAGAAGTACAGTGAATGTTAGTTATTTCGAACTAATCCAAATGCCCCCAAAACTTGTATTGGAATTTTTTAAATCTTATTAATTTGAACTAAATTTTTATCACTTCAGTTAAATGGAACTAAAAATTTGAGAAAAAATAATTTTTCCTTGTTTAATGGAAAAAATACACAGTGTATTATTTTATGTAGTAAAAAAAATAATCTATTTCTCTCCTGTATAAAAAGGCATGTGCATGCATTCCTAGACTATTGCATTTCCGCCAACGTTCATGGCTATTATCCTACTGTCTACCTCTTATCAGAGCTTAACATACAAATTGAAAAGACAAAGCTAACAGCTGGCTTAACTTATTTCCTAGTATTCATTCAGAAACCTTCATGAACAGGTTCGGGATAGGAGGTGAATCATTTATTTGTTATAAACTTTCTTAGAATTTCAGAAAAATCAGTCCTTACTACTAAGTCTAGTGAGCTGCATCAGTTATGCCTGCAGTGCAAACAAGTTATTGTACTCTCGTTTTTCTTCCTCAGTGTGTGGTGTGAACATGCAAAATTCAAAATGCCTGCATGTGAAAGTACAAAATTAACATTGGAGACAAAAGTAGAAATTTTAAAGTAAAGAATAGCAAGTGTAAAACAAAGTTAGAGGCTAACTTATAAATAAAAAAAACTTGTCAATTTATTTGAAAAACAAGGAATTAATTTTAGATTCATGGGGAAAATCTAAATTTGCTAGAGGAAATGTATTTTAAAGCTCTACTGCTATGGTTCCAGGAGGCTAGATATCTTTTTTTTTTTTTTTTTTTTTTTTTTTTTTTTTTTTTTTGGATAAATAGACACCTACTGCAGATGAAGACTTGTAAATTGGCAAGTCTCATGCGTATTAAAGATTTTAAATGCAATGACATGAATTTCTCGATTTAAGTCAAGGGACAATATTTCTTGTCAAACTGCATGTAGCGAAAGCTCTGGTGTAAACTAAGATGTGTGCACTAATTTCAGTAGGAAAACTGCCAGGGCCTTTCTCTACTTACCTGCCGAAAGATACTTTTCATGCGGACAAAACTGCACTTTTTTAAAATAAACTCTTGGCAAACAAC